CGAGCAGGACATTAACCCATGTAAGGGGAGGGTATTGTTTATATATCCACAGGAGAGGGAGAGAGACCAGGCTTCAACCCAGTGCACCAAGATGTGAATACAACATACTAGCATGTAGCAGGGAACCAATAGAGAGGTCTGTGGGGCAAACCCCAATATCAACTATGTGAGGGACCCCCCACCAGAAGAATGTACTTCAGTGGACAGCACTGAGCTACAGCTTGTGGAGAGGGGCACCTCTGATCAGAGCACACAGATGAAATGAAGAGGGAAGAAGAGGGAATGGAAGACATCCTGGCCCACCAAGCCCAGAGGATGATATGCCTGCTCACAGCAGACAATGTTCAGAGAGAATATAGGGCTGGCCCCACCGCGAGACACAACATCCCTCACTGAACCTTAGTGGTACAAGGGATAGCATTGAAGACACAGTGCAGGAATTCTGCCCAATCTGACCCTATCACATTGGGGCAAAACACTAAAGTCATGCTACGTAGCAGCAAGGGGAGCAAAGAATGAAGTCCCCTGGGAAAACCAAAAGAGTGTGGCACACCATCAGAATTACCTGGAAAACATTCTTCTAATAGTCAAAAATCCGACCTGGAGCTATTTATAGGCTTTTCCTTTTTTGTCATTGGCTTTCTTTGTGTTGTTATTTTTGGTTCTTTTTGTCTTCCTTTGTTGTTTTGTTTGGCTTTGCCTTGTTTTTGTGCTTAATAATGTCTTTGATGTCCACATGGAAGAAGCACACCAGCCTGTGTGATCATGAGATGTTGATGGGATCAGCTATCAGGCATCTAAGACCCAGAACAAAATCATACCAATGTGAAAGGGGTGGGGGGCATGGAGTGGAGACCCAAAGTCCATCTCTAGACAATTGAACATCCCTTTACAGAAGTGTCACAAGGAAGAGACGAGCCAGGGTCTAGTATAGCACAGATGAAACATACAACTTTCCTCTAGTGCTTTAATACCCCCCTCACTCTTATGACCTCAAATCGACCTTACAAATCTGACTAGACCAGAATATGTACACTGCTACAGATAAGAGCCCACAGCACAGGAAATCCAGGACAGATAAACCCCTCCGGACCAATAATGAGAATAGAGTTACCAGGAGGGGAAGGAGAAGGTGGGGGGAGAAAGGCGGAATAGATGAGGATATGTTCCCCCTCCCAGGGGGACAAACAACAGAATAATGGGTGAAGGGAGACAGCAGACAATGTAACATATAAAAATAATAATTCATAATTTATCGAGAGTTCATGAGGGAGAGGGGAAAATGAGGAGTTGATATAAAAGGATTTGAAAATGATGATGGCAACATATGTACAAATGTGTTTGACACAGTAGATGATTGTATGGATTATGATAAGAGCTGCAAGATCCCCCCAATAAAATGATGTAAAAAATAATAATTTAAAAAATCAATTGTGCTTAAGGTGAAAGCTTACAGAGCAAGTCTGTTTTCCACTTTACTTGGACAGAAAGTGTTCCAGTGCATGGGTTGTATTCCCCACAATGAGTCAGAACTCTCCTCCACAGCACACTGAGCTCCCTGGCTCCTTGCCTCCGTGTTTTACACCCCTTCCTGCTTTCTCATCTTATCTTTGGGCCTAAGCTTGTCCTTTGGTTCTCATGTAATTAACTGCTATAAGGAACATATTCCTCCTGGGGTTGTGTATTTTATTGGGCCTGTTGATTATTTGGCTGAAACATGCTCTCCAGTGGCTTCAGTTTGAGGTACAAAGGGCTGCAATCTTGGGGGTTCCTACAGTCTCTATCAGACCAGTATAGCTAATCTTTTAGAAATTTGGTTTTTTTTATTGGTCTTAATTTTCTCCCATTATGTCTGTGACCATTTATAGTGAATCTATTCAGAGTGTTAAATAGTGGTAGTCAGGCACCAACTAGTTCTTCTGGCCTCAGGATCATGTCGGTTGTGGTTCATCAGTTCTTCGTACTAATGCTCCCTTGAGTCTTGGTTTCTTTCACTCTCTGTTGCCCTGGATGGAAAGAGATTATTATTTTTTATTCTGTTCTACTCCTTCTTTGACAGGCACATTTAGAAGATTCAGAACTCCATGTTTCTATTGCTTTTCTTTGCTGCAATATTCCCTTTCTTCAGCTCTGGGACCCGTTTACATAATAAGTTAGAACCTTTTACCTTATTCTAAGCATGAGAAATGAATGGTAACCTTTGGATTCTTAGTGATCTTCCTCCCCCATTTGGGCAAACATTCAAGTGGCTTAAAGGTTAGGAGACTAGATATTGATGTCTAGGTTCAAATGCCAGCTTTCATTTTTAATAGATGGTATCCAGTAAGCCTCTGGTTTATGACTTGTGAAAGAGAGCTAGTAAGAACAACACTACTGCTTGTTGTTTGTTAGGTGCTGTCAGATTGGCTCTGATTCATAACAACTCTCTGTACAAAGCAACAAAACATTACCTGGTCCCCCACCACCTCACAGTTGTTGTTTGAGTCCAACATTGCAACCACAGTGCCCACCCATCTTGTTCAAGGTCTTCCTCTTTTTGCTCACCCTCTGCTTTACTAAGAAAGGTATCTCTGTCAAGGACTGGTCTCTCCTAACAACTTGTCCAAAATACATGATAGGAAATCTTAGCATCCTTGCTTCTAAGGAACATTTTGGCTATACTTCCTCGAAGAGTGTTCTGTTTTCTGGCACTGTATGGCACTTTCAATATTCCTAACCAACTCCGCAATTTCAAACGCATCAAGTCTTCCTCAGTCTTCCTTATTTATTGCCCAGCTTTCATATGGATGAGTGAAAATACCATGGCCTGCGCTAGGCGTACCTTAATCCTCAAGGAGATATTTTTGCTTTTCAACTCTTAAAAGAGGTCCTGTGCAGCAAATTTTCCCCTTGCAACACATTGTTTGATTTCCTGTCCACCGGTCCCAAGAGCACTGATTGTGGATCCAAATAAAAAGAAATCTTGACAACTTATCATGATGTTCTCTTGGTTTAGTTGTGAGGATTTTTTGTTTTCTTTACGTTGAGCTGTAATCCATATTATTGGTCTTATTCTTTGGTCTTTTTAAGTGCTTTGAGGCTTTTTTGCTTTGCAAATTCCTTCTCTATATTATATTACTTAAAAAATAGTTTTATTGGCAAATACTTCAAATATCATACACTTAGTTATTGGATCATGTTAAGAAGATTTATGAAATCATCACAATCATTTCAGAACACTTTCTTCTCATACTATTGTTGCTAGTTTCCTCATCTTCCCCTGCCATCCACTTACTGTCTCTATAGATCTATCAATCCTGGATTTCCCAAACAGAAAATCATACAAAATACAAACAGAAAACAAGCAATGACAAGAGAAAACAGAAAAATCTTAATCAAAGAGAAAGTAGACAATATTTAAAACTTTAAAAATTTAAATGGGTTAAAAGGGAGATCAAATGATCAAGCATTACATTCTACCTACCTTCATCTGCCATAAGACTTTATCATGCTTTCTGTTGGACAGCAAGGCTATTCATATCCCTAAATATGGTCAGAGGGGATTCACTGCTAATCTTACCTCACGTGGGGACCCTGAAAATGGATTTTCATCTCCACTGTAATCCATAGCCTTCTCCAAACCAGGTGTACATAATTTCAGTTCTGATACCATTCCCTCCCTCAGATTTGTGTTTTATTGTTTTTAGTCCTTTGATCACACAGGCTAGAGTGCTTTATCCATATGGACTGAGTTGATGCCCTTCCATCTTTTATTTATGGCTTTTTATAAAATTCAAAAGACATCAACATACTTTCTTCAAAAACGAATATTACTTAGACTTAAAAAATAATTTTATTGGGCATTCTTACAGACATCATAACATTTCATAGTTCATTCACATCAAGCAGTACCATACAATTGCTACCACAATCAATTTCAAAACATTTTCTTTCTTCTTGCACACCTTGATATTAGCTCCCCTTTATCCCATCCTTTCCCCTCCATACCCCACAGGAACTCTTATTTATGTATGACTTATCTTACACCATCCACTATCACCTTTCACATACAATTATATTGTTCACTCCCCTTGAGTAGGGTTATAAGGGGGGGTACCCCCACAAACGGAATTGCACTGGGTGAAGCAGAGCTTTTGTAGTTATGTATTTTCCTCACCAGGCGAGGATCAAGCAACTCACTATGTGTTAGTTCACCCCCTGGCCTGGGAAGGTTCTGTCTGGTCACAGTGTTACTTTCTCTGGAACCTCCTTTTTGTGATGGCCAATTTAAGAGAACAGGGTTCAGCTGTAAAATTATGTTTCTTGCTCTGGAAAAAATGCCACAGAAACTGTTGTGATGTTGAACACAGTTTACAAGGACAGCACTATGGGAAAAACTCGAGTGTACGAGTGGTTTTCTTGTTTCAAAAGAGGTGAAACATCAATTGATGGGAGTTGTTTGGCCCTTGAATCTTCTGAACAAATTGCCACTAATCCCATCGTCATGGATTGTCTTTGTGGAGTCATTTAGAACTACCCGTTCATTTGTAGACGTCATGTGCTTATTTGGTGACAGGCTTTTCTGCTTTAACCTGCTGTCAGAGCACCTGAAGACACAACAAAATGTTCTAAAAGTTTTGCAGCAAAAACAGCAGGATGAATGGGGAGAAGGAGCTAGTGTCAGATGATTCAAGTGTGTAACATAATAATCAGTGCCCTAATTAAAGCAATAATCATGCTAACGAAGCATAAGCAGGGTCTCTATCCAATGGATTTGTACTCAGCTTCACAGTCTATCAGAATCTTGGAGCACGGGGCTCACGCTTGCTCCTTCCGGACATGGGTCCATGAATACATTTGCTTCCCAAAAAGACCTGTTTAATAACAGTCAAGTAAAAAATGGAATCTGGAAAATTTTACTAATCATCAACCAACATTTTAACTACAAAGAAAGCTGTTGCAGCCGTTCATCTTCACCCTGTCCTTTCAGAGCCGTCCACGCCGCTACTGCTGGCACTTGCCGGTGCTCGACCATCGCAGGCAGTCGGCGATGGTCAAGAAGCGACTTCCTGAAGGATTAACTCCAAACCGCATTGTGAAGATTCAGAACCAACTCAACGGTAGTGAGTTTGGGTTTCCATGTGTAACACTTTCTCTCAATGATTGATTTTGTCTATTCCCTCTTTTCCACATTGTTTTCCTTCACATCTTTCCTTCCTTCTTCCCTTTACCTTCTTCCTCCCTTCTTTCCTTTTTCCTTTCCCATCCTCCTTTCCTCTCTCACCTTTTTCCTTTCTCCCTCTTTCCTTTCTTTACGAAATACCTTATTGGATGGAAGATATGACCTTGATTGAAACAAAGCTGGAGATTGCTTGATAGAATTTTGAAAAACCAATACCTTCTTCATTGTACTGAAGGCCTTGGTGGAAAACGGGTCTCCAGGAATTGACAGAATATCAGTCGAGATGTTCCACAAAGGGATGTACCATTCACTAGTGTGTACCAAGAAATACAGAAGACCAATGTGGCTGAAGAGATCTATATTTGGACCTATTCCAGAGGAAGATGAACCAACAGAATGCAGACAATAGATATCAAGCAATATCATTAATATCATAGGGAAGGAAGGTTTTGCTGAAGATAATTTTTTTAAATGGCCACAACAGTGCATTAACCAGGAACTGCCGGAAATTCAAGTTGGTTTCAGAAGAGATCTTCACAGATAGATCTTCTCTGAAAGCAGAGCCTATCAGAAAGATATTGCTTTATTGACTATGCAAAGACATTGGAGTGTTTGGGTCATAAAAAGCGAGGGTAACATTTTGAAGAGTGAGAATTCCAGAGGCCTGACTGTGCTCATGCAGAGTCTACAATACACTTAGATGAGAACACAGGGCTGATATGTGGTGTAAAATCAGGAAGGGTGTGTTTCAGGGTTGCATTCTTTCATGATCTTTATTCAATATGTATGCTGAGCAAATAATCTTAGAAGCTGGACTATGAAAAAAACAGCATTAGAATTGGAGGAAGACTCATTAACTCATTAACTCATAACCTGTGGACACACAGATGATACAACTCTGAGGTTTAAAGACTTGAAGCAATTATTGATAAGGATCAATGAATGCAGCCTTCAGAATGGACTACACCTCAATATAAAGAAAACAAATATCCAGGCAACTAGACCAACAAGCAACATCATGATAAATGAAAAAAACATTGATGTCAAGGATTTCGTTTCATGAGGCATTACATCGGGCAAATCTACTTCAAGAGACTTCTTGAAAATGTTAAAGAGTAATGGTGTCACTTTGAGAATGAAAGGCCTTCTGACCCAAGCCATGGCCATTTCAGTATTCTCTTACACATGTGAATGTTGGATCAAAGGGTGAAGAAAAAATTTGATGCACTTGAATTTTGCTGTTGGCAATGAATATAGAAAATACCATGGACTACCAGAAAAACAAATATATCTTGGAAGAAGTATAGCCAGAATTCTCCTTAGAAGAGGGGATAGAAAGTCTTCATTTCATGTATTTCCGACATGTTATCAGGAGAGATCTATTCCTGGAGTATTTCATTATGTTTGGTACAGTAGACGTCAGGAAAAAAGACCCTCAGTTAGTTGGATTGACACAGTGGCAGCAACAACGGGCTCAAACAGAACAATGTTGAGCAGGACCAGGCATCATGTCCTGCTGTACATCAGGCCATGAGGAGTCAACCTTGACTCAACTATATCAAAAAATAACTGTGACCTAAACCGGCAATGCTTTATGTACCTATACGCTAATCTCTACGCACCATTCCTATGGGCTTATTATTATTATTTCAATTGCCTTATCGTGTATATTTAAGTGACTAAAAAATATGATTTGTTTTCATTGCTTTTAGAATCCTCTTCAAAAAAGAGCATCATGTTATGGGTGTTATGTTACGGGTCTGAGTTAGTTAAGTTTATTGTGCCAACCTGGCCAATACACACATGTGTGGTTAATTGAAGGGCAGAGAGATAAATGGCTCCATGATCCTTGCCTTTCTGTTCTCAGGTCTCTTGTTTTGTGATGGTCGGACCAGGTTGTAGCTGCCTTAGCCAGTTCCCTGCTTCAGTTGGCAAGTCTCACTTCCTGCAAGACATCCCTGAGGAGAAGCCACATGGACCTACCCCATGCAGCCCTGGGCGCTGGAACAGCCGTGTGGAGACCCCTGCCAGCGCTGAGATGCTTACACGCTCACTGATTCGACTTTCCTCCTGCAGTCGGCATCATAGTTTGTTTTGTGAGATGGAGAAGGACTTTGTGGATTCGTGTCAGACATATGGGCTAATTCTGGACCTGTGGGCTTGGGCAGCACTTGGTTGGGATGTTTTCTTGATGTGCACTTACCCTTTATATAAAACTCTTTTTTATACATTTGAGTTTCTGTGAATTTGTCTCTCTAATGTACAAGGACTAACACAGGGCAATAATTATGGGTGTTCATTATGCCACAAAGCAAGCAAGCAAGACAAACATAGGCCAAATTATGGTGAATAATTAAAATTTTGTCCACTTGAATATCTTAACCCCCCAAAAAACTGTTTTAGTGGGAGCTGATACAGATATCATATAATTCCACAGTTCAATCACATCAAGCTGTACTGTATAATTGCTATCACAACAAGGTTCAAAATATTCTCTTACCTCTTGGACTCCTTGATATCAGCTCCCCTTGTCCCCCTCCCCCACTGTAGTCCCCAGGCTCCCTCATTCTACTTGCTGTCGCTACAGTATCACCAATCCTGGGTTTCATTTACTGAAAATCAGAAAATATATTTTAAAAATTCAAGAGGCCTATCTCCAATGACAAAATACATCTGAGATAAACCCCAATACGGAAAAAAAAGCCCCCAAACAGAAACTAAAATACAAAATGTTGAAAACCAGATAAGGTCCAACATGTGAGGAACAATGGACAAGGTTTTAGCCATTCAAGCCAGGTTTATCATTTTGATCTCCCATAGTCGTCTGTCTAATGCACTCTGTAACTGGTTCCTTCCCATCCCTTTATTATGGACAGAGGGGAATCATGAGAGGCTGATTTCCCATCTAGATCTCACACATGTATCTCAGGGTTCCCCTGTCCTTCATTACCTTCTGCAATCCAGAATCTCACAATTTAGGCTCTGATACTATTCTCACCGACTTTGATTATACTATTTACAATCCTTTGGTCACTAATATTGGTGTGCTTCTTACATGGGGATTTATGTAATTGACATCTCACTTGAACGGCTGCTTGTTTGGAAACAAGCCTTTAAGAGCAAAGGCATTATTTTATCTTGTCACCAAGGAGTTTATGTTTTTAATGTGCTTGTGATATTGATATAGTCCTTCTCTCCAGGTACAATATATCATATCTGCTTGTATTATTTAACTTAATTACTCAGCATTTCCATGTCCTTTTGGGCTTTTTCTTTTGATTATAGGCTCTACAGGAGCCTTGGTGGGTAGTAGGTATGCATTGGGCAGCTAACTGCAAGGACTTTCTACTCCTGTAAAGCATTATCATCTCAGAAACCCAAAGGGACACTTCTGTCCCCTTTGACAGGGTCCTTATGAGCATCCCTTGATGGCAGTGAGTTTGGTTTGGGGCTTATAGTTTTTCAGCCCAAGAAGTCAATTCTCCAAAGCTACCACGAGATGTCACTGTTCCGCAATGATGTAAGGGATTTAGCAGTCCAGGTAGTGCTATGGGATGGTGTTGGGCTACTAACTGCAAGATCTGCGGTTCAAGCTCAAAGGAGCCATTCTACTACACGGTCATTATGGGTTAGAATGGACTTTGCAGCAGCAGTGAGTGGACCCTGGTAGGAGGAGAAAGGATCTGGTGCTCCATTACATGTGCCTTCATTGTAGTTATTATTCCCAATGCTATCTCAGAGGGGATTCAAGGCACAGCCCTGTATTTTTACCATTCATTGGTTTTTGAACTCATGGTAAGTCCCACTCATGAAAAACCTAGTGTCCTTTCTGGTCAGCTGGTCTAAGAGGGGAAATTTCAGTTTTTTAGAGAAAATTCTAATGGCACTAAAACCTTATTTCTCATCTTCCTTGTAAGCACCTAAGTTTTGTTTTTAATTTGAATTAAGCTCTAACTTGCCCTTACAGCCCCTGGATCCTGCAGATGGTTTGTGCTCAACTACTAGCCCAACTAAAGGCGGACCATTAGAAATCCACCCAGGGATGCCATGGGAGAAAGACTTGATGATCTGCTTCTGCAAAGATAACTAAATAATAATAATATACATGTGGAGTCCATTCTGAGTCATGTAAACTCCATCTATTATACAGTCGGTCTGTATTCTGTAGGGATTTCATAGCTGTGATCCTCACTGAAACAGATTGCCAGACCTTTCTTTGGCAGTGCTACTGAGGGCTTGAAACTGCCAACCAGTCTATTTGTTGGGGACTACAAACCTGTGCTAGGCTGAATTGTCTAGAGAAAAATAAAATCAGTGACACTCATCTATGTATAAGAAAGAGATTTACAATCAGAAGTAATTATATATCAAGAAGGCATCCCAGCCCAGTCCAACTCAAGTCCGTAAGTCTCTCTTCAGACTCATGTAGCCTCATGCCACTGATGCATAATGGTGAACCAAGAAGTAGGTAGAACGAACAAGCTGGTGGGTGCAAAATTGGTGGAAATATAGCAGGATGCTGATAGCTCTCGGGGCTGGCAGCAGAGTCCCAGCAAGCAGGAAGGTAAAGTTGCAGGGAGAAAGAGAGGTTCCCAGTTTTTCTCACTCTTATAAGAAGGCCACATCTCCAAGTAGGCACCATCAATCTAATGCTTGTTTGACAGGTTGAATCCTACCCCTAGCCAGGAGTGTCTAGTTGACATAATATCTGACTACCACAAAACCATTTGTGCCACCCATAAAGATTCTGTTTCCTTGGTAAAAAAAACAAAAACAACTGTGCTAATAGTTGTAAGGTGTTCTTTAACAATGCTTCTGCATACACGTTCTCACCATTTAAAAAATAACAAGCAAACCCATTGCCATAGACTCCATTCCAACTCACGAAACCCTCCCCCAACTCTCTCCCTTC